AGTTTATACATGCGTTTAAATCTTTAGCCACTTTAAAACGTTCCAAAGGAGATAATTTATTAAAGTTTGAACATTTAAATAAATGTTGATGTGTGAAATTACTACACATGCATTTGGAGGCCGGAGAACCGCGGGCGCTGTTCACAACAGAATTAACAATATATGATTGATAGTTTGGCGGCGAATTATTATTATTCTTAATATTAGAGCGCGAGCGAATATTTCCAATTGTTTGTTTCGAACAGGTGGCGGTGTAGGTGGCTACTGCCGTACGAGTTAATATTTTTGACTGATTTTGCATAAAATTTACTAAATCATTGAATGTAGGTAGTTTGGAAGAATCGGTTTTTTGTTCGAAATTACGTACTGTCTCAGTGTCTAATTTTCTCAACGCCAACTGCAAAACAATAATATCGCTAAGGTCGTTTACCTTGATATTTTGGAGTGCGCGGACTGAATTTACGAAATTTTCAAGAAAGGCATCGTAATTTACAACCGATGCGCTTTGTATGGGTTTAAAATCTAATAAATTGTTTATATGTGAACTGACTAAAGTACGCTTGTCCTCATACTTTTCTACTAGCGTTTGAATAATTAAATCATAATTTTCTGCGCAGGGGGTAATCCCGGCGCAAGCGGTTTGAGCTTTACCCGAAATTTTACCTAACAAATAATAAAGTTTCTCAGCGTCTGAAAGCGATGGGTTTTCGTGAACAGTAGACTTATAACTAGCGAAGAACAGAGGCCACTTGCGTATGTCTCCGTCAAACGACACGAGTTCTAACGGTGGTAAGGAGGGACGCGTTTTACGCGGTGCATCTTCACTCTTCTTCTCGGCAAGCAGATCGCGGCTATGAATGGTCACCAATCTCTTAACCCGGCCGTATAGTCGTTCGAATGCGACAAAGCTTTTGTAATCTATTGCAAAGTTCGGTTTCTCTTTTAGTAAACACCTGTTGTACTCATCTAATAAGTTTTTAAATTCAGAACGTAATGTGTCAATGTTACTACTAGCATCGAGGAAAATTTCCACGCCTTGATTACCGGATCCTAGTGTATTTGACAAGTCATAAATCTCTTGCATGCATTCAAATAAGGCATTACGCTTAGCTTCCAACATAAGTAATTTTTGATTTTGCGTACTAGGCGAATCCTTTTTCGGGTCCATTATGAATGCAAACAAATGACAAATGCGTAAGTAATTAAATATGTAAGCGTTGTTGTTTTTATTCTATGCACCTTTATAAAATATCCAATCACGGGTAAATAAATGTGACAAATATCAAATATGTAGGTACTTTGAAATGTAGGTATACTTATACTGGTTAAGTATTTACTGGAACCTTTAATTAATTATATAAATACATATGGGTGTTATAATAATTTGTATTGTTCTCCTATTAGATGAATAATTTTATTCTAATGGGGCGGTAGATATATATATGAGCGAGCCACGACACCGTGCTTTCGTTTTATGAGAACGAAAATGCGTTGCGGGCTTATAATACGAAAAATAAGCGAAAATATATATAATATGTACAATATTGGAGCGGATAAATACTCTTACTGGGTAAATACCAGTAAGGGCGGGTGGATGAATGCGGCTGAAGGACCACTAAATAATGGTCACGCCACAAAACAAAACAAATTCCCGGCGCGGATGTGCGATTATATACAAGAAGAAAACACAAAAACTAGAGGGAAACTGTGGGAAAGGGGGTACCTGTTGGTTTGTTGGGCTGGTTCCTTGACGCCTGTTCTTCCTGTCCTGGAAATGTTCGCCTGTGGCGCGCCACTATTTCTTTTTTACACTAATGTTCGCGGGATATTCGCGGGCCCCGGGGCGGAAATATGTGTAGGCGAAAAGCGTCTCCGGAGCGCGGTTTTTTCTCGTCGTGGGAGTTTCTTGGTGTCTCCTCTCGGCGATCAGAGCACACACAGGCCGTTGCCCTTTTTTCGTCCGTTGGTTCGAATTGCAGCGATGGCAGCGCCGCGGACGAAGTCGACAACAGGTGAGTTTAGAGGAAGGGATAAGGTAAATGTGTTTTCGCAAGCTTACGATAGATGGCGTTAACAAATTGGTTTTTAAATTTATATTCGTATTAAAAACAATCAATTGTATTTCTAACCTCTGATAAATGTGCTTTTCAAAAATATATAATACCTTATACCTTCCATTTCAAGTTTTAAAACTATTTCACGTTGAAAAACGTAAATGAAGAACTTAATATTTCCCAGCTGCCTAAACGTTTAACTTTGCTACATGAAAAAAAATACTTTTACGAAATAAAATATGAATTACGCTGCAGAATATTAAACTTCGACTTTTGAACTATTAAGTTATATTCATATATTACTCAATTTCATCTTAGAAAAACTGTTAAATATTAAAGATGCCTAAACAAGCACAAAGGCGTGTACTACAAACTTTTAATGCGATGCCAATCCCATTGCCGAAGCGGGCAGCTATACAGCTATACTCGTAGCTGCTATAGGGCGACGTCCCCCTTTTGCGTATTATTTTAGATCATGTTAAAGTTTCACGGTACAACCCCGACGGATGTTAAACAAAACGCCAACTCGCTCGTTTACTTGGGTCATCGTAAAACAATCTAACAAGCGAACCAAGAGGAGAGTTATTTAGTACTTTAGGGCGATTCTGTAGAACAAAATCTCATTACCGAGTTCGATAGCTCCAATTTAAGACAGGTAAATATATAAATAAAAAAAGAGGAGCTCGATGGCGCAACTGGTTAGCGCGTTCGGCTGCGATCGTTGAAGTTAAGCAACTTTCGCGGTGGTCGGTCATTAGATGGGTGACCAAAAATTTACTAATTGGTAAAGCCGTTGGTTCCGGTTGCATCTGCAGTCGTTAGCACCAATCCGCACTGGGCCCGCGTGGTGGGTCATGGCCCAATCTCCCTATTTCATCCATAGGGAAAGCCTGTGCCCCAGCAGTGAAAATAAAATATATAAATGACGTCACAACGCGGCAAAATGTCGCAATGAATATAGAAGTCGTATGTATGACAATTGAAAACAATTCGATTAGAAAACGAGTTTATATGTTACAGTTACAATCGATGAATGTAAAAATGGTTGTGTTTGCAAGCCTTAATTTCCATATTTTCCACCTAATGGTAAGCGGTCTCTACATAACACAGACAACAATCACCATTCTATATTCTTTCTGTATTCTACGGCTGTTACCATAGATAACAGACCCGATACCATTAAGAAAATAAATAAATATTTCCAACACTCACACCAATTAGCCTAGCCCCAAAGTAAGCACTATAAGGCTTGTGTTATGAAATACTAGGGTAACGGATAGAATACATATACTGTACATATATAAGTATATTTTAGTAGAAATACATATTAAACATCCATGACTGGAGTACCAATGCTTGTATTTATCACACAAACATCTGCCCCCACCGGGATTTGAACCCGGGACCTCTCGAGTCGGAAAACCATGAAACCCGGCGTAGAAACCACTCGGCCACGGAGGTCGTCCAACGTAATTTAACACTCACACGTTGCCGCCCTGACAACAACCCGTGGAGCTCTGATCAAAATCCAACACTGAAGAAAAATGTTATTAGGCTGTTAAAAACTTTACAACACTGAAAAATTGAGTTATTTGGCTGTAGTCTTCTGTAACAGGTTATTTTCCCAAACGGGCGATCCAATTTTAGGGGAAAAACCGCTATGCCGCACCTCTCTGTGTATCTATAGTGAGTAAAGTAAGGGGAAGTGAAAAAGTGCTAGTGGAAAAAAGTTGTTCCCACCTTATATAAGACTATATAGCCAATAAATTGGGTGGGCTTGTAATCCAGCAATACGCAAAAATTCCAATCCTCCACTGGGAAGGGGGCGGGGTTCAACCTAGCAGTAAAGTAGCTGGTAGGCATATGTTTTGCCACATCCGCAGCTATTTCGTAAACGATCAATAATATATTTCCGACAACACACAACAAACTGTTTAATCTTTAACTAATCAGAGCTTTAACTATGAAAAATAAACAAAGTAGGTAGTTTTTATATTTTTAATTTTTAAGCACGGCTAGATTTAGTAATCTAAAGAAAATTTTACTAACAAAATCCACGCGGTCTAGGCATCAGTATACATATAATACAAACACTATAATAAAAATGCCTTAAAAATTTAGGCATCACTTCATTATATCAAACTATCTTAAAAAACTACGATATACAGACCCAGGGGTATATCTTATCCCATGAACGAGTAAAAACCAAGAATAAATAAATATTCATATGTTTTGTTAGTAAAAATTCAAAACATAAGTAAGTACTAAGTAGGAACAAAATATCGCTACAGCGCAACACATTATTTAAGAGAAAAACGAAAAATCTTTAAAAAATCTATACTTTTACATTGATTTATTAAAACAGACAAGTCATCACACCTAGTTCCAGAATAAAACTAGAACAAGTTTAATTACTTTATCTAAGTTAACACTGGTAAGTTTAAAAAAATACCTACCACAATTTTTTATTGTCAAATTCAAATCATGTTTTAAATTATCACAGGTTTGTTTATGAAAACTCATTTCATGACAGTAGAAATTTACATATGGAGCTGAACTTTTCAACATGAAGAATGTTAAAATGAAAATAAACAGTAAAAAATTGTCGAGGGTAGTTTCGTAACGATTTCGAAATGTCAAAGGGAAACCTTTAAAGTAAGTACGCAATACTCGTAGGGTAGCAAGTAATACGCAACAAGCTAAACAATGCCACTAAAACATCTACGCATCACTTTATTGGCTAAGATCTTTCCATTAAATGCGTTCATTAAAAATAATAGAATATTGTGTGAAGAATCATGAAAATACATATTTTTATTACTCACACAACAAAAACAGCGTGCTTTCATTTTAAACAGAAAAACGACACAGTATCACAAAACGGAGGAAAAATAGGAAGAACCATAAACTATAACGTAGTTTATTTTATTAGAAAAAATATTTTACCTGAAGCTGTTGTTTCACTGCGGCCAGCTTACTGCCGGCAACTGCATTTCGCACTATCACTTGCACTTATACAGCACGTGTTCGCGCGGCTATGGTTCGTCCGGGACTGAGGAGCCTCGCCCTGGCCGGTCGATACCCGCCCCCCTCCAACAGGTTGACTGCGTGCGCCGAGCTGTGGACACGTCGCCTTGCCACCTATGCTGCCCTGGTACTGCGGGCTCGGTACCAGGAAGCGGGACAAGGGATGCTCAAGAAGCCTCCCATCAGAAGTTACTCTTTCTTCTGTTGATGACCCAGTATATCATTCGGATAGCCTAATAAGTTCAATTTTCGCATTCTAGGTGCCATTTTTACCAAGAAGTACCATCATACATTTTAAAACCATATTAAAAGAAAATGCCACAATGGTTTCTTGATGAATTAAAATTTAGAATGTTATTTTATGGTTTCAACATTGCCTTACAATAATAATACGTCAAAGGATGCTCAAGAAGCCTGTCCATCAGAACTGACAACTCTTTCTTCTATTGATATCCTGGTAAATCATTCGGATTGCCATTTCAGATAACGTCTTTCCATGTATCGCATTTTAAGTGCCCTTTTTGACCATTCAATACTGATCATAAATCTTTAAGTCATATTGAATCTAATTTGCACGATAGTTTCTTGATTACCTAAAACGTTATTTTCAGGGGTTCAATTTATAGTTTTTATTTTCAACGTTTTCCCGGGCATTAAATTACACTTTGTAACTCGTTAACGGCGTTTAAATGATTGATACGTATCAACAAGAACACTGTAAACTCCTGAACGATCATCGGCATTAAAGATATCCAAATGCCGCCAGTAATAATTTTGCAGTCTGTATACTTTTTTTGGTTGTTTGTCGCATTCTGATCATGCAAAACTGATTAGGCTACATCAAATTCTCATTTATAACCATTTACCTGAAAATCAGCTCAAACTTTAACTACTTTTTAAAAACATTTTCCTTCACTATTTTCTATCCTATTTATATAACTAAAAATTTAAAAATAAATTGCTACATTTATGAAAGACAATCAATTAATGACGACCCCAAATCATTAATACCATCCCATATGTACATACATCTTACTATCCGGGTATGTATTCTAAAATATATCGAATTTTCCTCTATATTTTGAGATGTACATTATCTTTCGTAAAAACCCTACCCTAACAAATTATTAACAACAAAATAAACAAATAGTCTAATCATTGGAGCCGTCTTCAAGTAATGGACTTTCAATGTGGATATCTTTTTGTTGTTGAAATTTCTACAGCGGAACAAACATATACTTTAATAAAGCTAAAAATAACGAAACGGACGAACGAAAGAGAAATATCCTGAACAAATCACATTTCTTGTAATGGGAAATTTTTTCAACGTATTTTAATCCTACATAAGAAAATTGTTGTATTGTTTTGACGTGACAACGTCTTAAATTAGGTTGCGGCTGGGAGTCACTTATGAAAAAGTGTAACGCTCGGTAACGTTACGATGAGTCACCGAACGAGAGAGAGGCCCGCTTACATGTACAATGTTTTAGTAAACAAAATATATTTCTATAGTTAAAATTTGTGCAATTCTTATTTTCATTCAATTCCTTGTTCCTATTGTGCAATTTAATTATATTCATATCAATAAATATTCTACCGAGAAAAAGACGTTGTCACGTAAAATCTTCGCCCGTAAAACCGACTTTACAGGCAACCATTTTTTTCCACAATTTTGATTAGTTAGATGGTACGGAACTGGACTTGCACTTTGGCGTGGTATTATGTTTATAATTTACAATTTTCTTTGTTAGTTAATTTTTTTTTTTTATGTTATAGCGGGCATACGAGCAGACGGCTCACCTGATGGTAAGTGATCACCGTCGCTCATGGACACTTGCAACACCAGGAGTATCACAAATGCGATGCCGCCCTTTAAGAAAGGAGTACGCTCTTTTTTTGAAGGTTTTTGGGTCGTATCGGTCCGGAAACACTGCTGGCGACAACATATTCCACAGTTTTGTCGTACGTGGTAAAAAATTTCGACAAAAACGAACGGTTGTGGATAGCCACGCATCAAGATGATGGCGATGAAATTTTTGTCGCGATGTACGATGGCGAAATGCAGCAACTGGAATTAATCCGAACAATTCCTCAGAACACTCCGAATGATAAATGCGATAGAAGATGCAGAGCGAAGCTACATCCCTACGCAACGGTATGAAACAAGGGTTCACTAGTATCCATAAAGCTTTGGTAGTGTTTCTTGTCTGCGAGTTATTTGCAGGGAAATATTAAATATTTTTATCTCCTTTCAGTTTCATTACTTATTCAGTTATTTCTTCTCAGTTGCATGAAACTTTATTTCTCGGAAAGCAAACAACTCAACTGCGATACATTTTTAAATAGCATTTGTTAGAAGTAATTTCATTCTTGGAGAGAATATTACGCTTTTGTTCGTCTATGTGTTTTTTTTTGTAGTTACTAGAGGTGCCTTCTTATTTTGTTACTTTTCACCCGACTTAAAAGAAAGAGGTCTCAAATCGACTAAGTATATTCTTTTATGTTTGTAACCTCGGAACCTTTGACTGGGTGAACCGATTTTGGTTGATGGTTTTTTTTATTGAAGTTATACTTCTTTAGGCGCGTTTTGAAAAAATGATGAGAGTGAAATTTTAAGATGCGCGCGCATCACTGTAACACAAAATTTTAACAGCATGAAGTTGGTCGCTTTAGCGACCAACTTTATGCTGTTACTTTTGTGTTTACCGCACATTAAGAAAATCTACCAACAAAATAGAAATATAATCTCTATTTAGTGGGTGCTAACGACTGCATTGTGAAGGCCTATCAAAAGTATTTATTAATCTGGAACAACGGAACCAAAGCGCGATTCAGGAGACTACAGCGCCATCTCTTGACCATTGGTGTAGTAGAACCAAAAACCTGTCATAGTTTTTGTAATTGTCAAACTCGTACTAAGGGTACAGATGATTGTAAAGATCAATAGGATGTTTGGCAAATTTTTGAAAACGTTCGTACGTTATTATTTAGTAAATGACTCCATGAAAGTGGAAATATTTCAACAGATAATAATAGAATATTTTTACAGCAAAGTCAAAACAAAAAAACACAACCTAAGTAGATAAGTGGAAACCACACAGTGTACAATCAATCATTACAGTGCCAATTTTAAACTGTCCTATCGATATTCACGAAATCATAATTGACCATAAAGGTAATAAACCCGAACACTTCCGTACACAATAAAATTCTCTAAATTAAATCCCATATCTTTATTTTTTGTAATAAAGTAACAGTTATAGGTATTCATATTTATAATATTTATCCACATGTTTCTAGTTTGTATATTCGGAATACGTGTTTGAGTTTCATACAAGTGCAAATCACATATGTTCTAATAAATTATATTCAGTAGCGATTTTAATTGAATATTTTGATTATTTATTTATTTTTTCAAATTAAAACTGAACTTTATTGACTGTGTCCTTTTCCAGACTTTTTATTAATTTATTGTAATTAATTATTTGCATACAATTAAAAACTAATTTTAAACGATGCCAAAGAAGGATAACTTCTCACGCGCCTACATAAGTACACGCACCCATTTTTATTTTATCAACGCATGCTGTGGCTACCATAGTTGTAAGTGCAGTTAACTATAAGCCATGTTAGTTTTGATTTACATTGTACCTAAAATCTGCTGTAATTTATGTTGATGGCCCTTCTAATTGATAAATAAGTAAACAAGAAGCTGGATATGCTGATTCACCTCCCTTTTGATATTAATAAATCAAAAATTCATGACATATATATTCTATGGGGCCTTATTATTTCTCAGTTTACATCACCACATTAATATTCCTTATCGACTTGGAAGGATCTCCGGGGAGACGTTACTGAAAACTTTTACGTTCTACGTTATTCACTTTCATTGAAGTTTTATGTGCTGTAAATATGGTGACTCTGCAATGCCTTGAAATTGAAAATATAACAGCGAATCCTTATAATAGCCTGCGCAGACGAGGGATTTTGTTCGCAGTAGTTTTGTCCGCCGAAATAGATCACTGAAAACGCACACGAAAGAATAAAAGTACCACGTATAAAAAGTCCTCCAAACACTGGGGTCAGGGAGGGTCCGAGGTGGACGGGGGGGTAATGATGGTCAGTGTCGGTCAGGAAGGGCCAAAGGGGGCAGGGGGGATCAGGACGTTCAGGGATGTCAATGGAACCCCTCAACTTCACCTCACACACACCGCGGAACGCTGAACTCGTGATATAACGTGACTTGAAGTCGCACTTTTTGCAGCGTACAGCCGGTGTTCATAGATTTAAGACGTAATCACGTCAAAAATAAATAACAATTTTACCACATCAATGCGGACGTTAATAATGGGCTGATGATAAAAAAAGAAATAATATTTTAAACATATTTGTTTCTTAGGTTTTCACGCACATCACTCATTAAATAAAACCAGTTTATTACGGGTTAATGCACGAAAACTTTATTTATTTATTTATTGACGTTTCATAGCCTTTACAGGCTACGTCGTCAGAATATATATTTTAAACATGTTATATTTTGTAAACAACATCTACGTCATCGGTCAATAACCCTTATGGTAGCGATAACCAGCCACCAGCTGTTCGGTTGTGACGTCACTTGATGGTAGAACAGCCATCAGCTCGCCTTCTTGCGGAACAGTGCGGTGAACTTGCCAGCCTTGTACGTCGGCATGAATGGTAGATAGCTGGTCCATTGCCATCTGGATTTGAGAATTTAAACATTAATGATAGTATTTTAAAATTTAAACATTACATTAACAGGGGGAAGAAGCACCTACATAAAGTAAATACTGGTGTCGATTCTGCCATGATTCTCTAAAGCTAAACTTAAAATTGACAACAGTGTATCCCTGTCATTCTCTATAGAGGATGAAAAGGACAGACTGATGTTAAATTTAGTTTTAAGTTTAGAGAATCATGTCAGAATCGACACCAATGTTTAACTACGCCCATGCTTTAAAACTTCTATAAAAGATTCCAATACTGTTAGCTTATTTCCAACATTAAACATCCAGCGTCCTAATAACCATAATATCATTCAAACGGATGTTATAATGTTGTACTAAATTTCATAATAACACTCTTTGCCTTTTTAATCCCTTCCGATGCTTAATGTTCATCTAAAACTCATTATAAAATTTGTATGCCAGTTTCTGGTGAAATGTGCGTGTCTCAACAAATAATGTAACACGTATTGTACCACTTTTCTTGCAAATAAATGAATCTGAATCTGAATCATCAGAGAGCCACAATATTTTAATTTATTTACGCAAAAAAAAATATAATAAAAATAAAATAACAAAAAGTCAACATAATATGTTATCATGAAAATAGTATATTAAAAATGGGTTGCCTAAAAAATCCTGGACAAACTATTTTTCTTTCTTTTTTTTAAAATTTAATGTTGCAACATCAATATATTAAGAAAATGCTGACCTGACTTACAGTAAAAAAAACGTATAAAATGTTCAGCCGTTGAGTAACGGTTTATCTTGATGTTGAAATATTTTTTTATTAATAAAAAAAAAATGTTTTCCAGAGCTTTTAGGCAACAAGTTCTTAATATATTATTTACTAATATACTAAATTCATAAAAAAATGACTTTCATTCTATTATCAGCTCGGTGAAGGTCGAAGTAGGTTCTTATCTTGTACTATTAGTATTTAGCCTAAATTGTGAGAGACTGGCGCCTGATCTGAGTTTCAGAAGAGAACTTGAACGTAGTACATGTCACCGATTTTAAATTTCAATACAATTTGCAGCACACGCTTGGCCTGCCTAAATCTGTGTCTGTGGTTCAAGCCATACTACAATAGGCACTATAAATGCAATAAACAGATATAGTGAGCGTTTAATTGGAAATTTAGAAGCTTATAAACTGTTAGCTGTCTCAAGACACTGTCGCGCTCACCTTTTTTTTTTACATTAAATAGGCTTACGCTTGACAGCCACGCGACTGATGAAGAGCGACGTAGCAGCCTAAGGTGGTACGCGCTTGCCTAGAAGAAATCGATTCACTCGCGACTTGAAGAGCCCCAGATTGTAGGTGACTGGGAACAGAGATTCCGGCAAAGAGTTCCACAACGTAGCTGTTCTGACGATATAGGTGGAAGCAAACCGTTTAGTACGAGTTTGCGGGACCTGTACGGTATATCTGTGGCGTTTTGCCGTCCCTCTGGTGGTTCTGTGGTAAAAAGGGGAAGGTGGAATTAAGTTGTGTAACTCCGAGGCACACTCTCACACCTGCGAATGTATGTCATGCCAACAGGGAAATCATAGGTGTCTCCACCGTCTGTTGCGCCGGCGGCATCCAGGGACATTTGCTGCGCCCACGCATCCAGTCCGCGCTCCTCATCAGTACCTAGGAACGCATTTATGCATTTATTCTTCTTTTCTATACTAATCTTTATATATATAATTCTTCTGTGAGTGTGTATGTCACTGAACTTCTCTTAAACGACTGGACCGATTTTGATGAATTTTTTTGTGTGTGTTCAAAGGGATCTGAGAATGGTTTAGATTCACAATTTTGTCCGCTGGACAACCCCTATTTTTTTAGGGCGGTACGAAGTTCGCTGGGTCAGCTAGTATTATATAAAGCAGAAGATTTCGTAGTAGAAGAGAGAAGTAGAAGTACTGATTGCGCTATTACACTTGGTTGAACCACTTGACTTGAACTTAACACTCGTGTGTCAATGGATTCGAATAAACGAATTCCTTTTGTTCACCCGAAAGCGTCTTCCAGATTATTGCAAAAGAATATGGTACAACAAGATGACATGTATACAAAACAGATTCTACATCATCATCATCAGCCTATTAATGTCCCCACTGCTGGGGCACAGGCCTTCCCTATGGATGGAATAGGGAGATTGGGCCATGATTCTACATATTTTACCATAAATGGCATGCAATTTATACAAAAGACAAATAGCTTAGTTACAGACCATATTCCAGTGTAAATATTGCTTCGGGTGCCCGAATTCGGGCTAACAACCAAATGTAATTGCGGCATAAAGGTTTACAACTGAGAACAAAACCTATAGTCTTCATCGAAGCGAAGCGAAGGCGGGTCATTGTTATACAGGGTGTAAGAAAACACTAAAACTACTACAAAGACTAAAACTACTCATTGACTGTACTGAACACCCAACAAAATATTATGCGTGGGATTTTTTTTTATTTTCAAGTTAAAAAAATACAATTTTTTCCCGTACTGTGGCGCTACGCAAATAATGTGCCTGTGTGTGTATGTGTGTGCGTGTGTGTAAGTGGTCGATAAAAAAGTTTCTAAATAACGTTTTGAAAATTAATGTATAAATCTTGAAAAGAATAATTTTGACTTTGACCTTCAATATCTGCATAACTATAAATTTCCCAGGTATGGTCCAGAAGAAGAAAATGATCGTCATGATGTGCAAAATACGTGGCCTTCGACTTCGTCAAAGGTTTTTTTACACCCTGTATCATCATCATCATCAGCCTATTAATGTCCCCTCTGCTGGGGCACAGGTCTTAATAATAATAAGTATAATACAAGCGTATGGGCCGATACCAAAGCTGTTACTCGCACCGTTGCCTAAGCTGACCCCAATCGCTACCCCGTGGAGCACTTTTTTTTTTTTTTATTCAACACTGCTTAGTACGGAGCCGCAGGGTCCCCGTTAGGGATTCTACGACGGCTCCGCCCCCAGCAGCTTCCCGGCCTCGCCGGGGCTCCACGGCAGGGGTCTCCCGCGGTATTACGGGGACCCCGCAGACGTGCGCAGGTAGGCCCGCGCGTGGGGGCTGGGTACGCGGCCTACTTCCCACCATACCGCCCCCCATCCGCTGCGGAGGGGACTCCTGGGCGTACCCGTCCAAGAACCCACCACCGCCCCCCCTTTGTAGGTCAGAACTACAAGTGGGGGGCCGCCGTTCCTGGGAGAGGGGAGCGGGAGGGGAAGCGTAATTCTTCCCGTCCCTCTCCCCGCTCCCGGTCGCCCACATCTCCCCGCGTCTTCTCCTAGGAGAAGATACCCCGTGGAGCCCTGGAACCTTACCTACCGATAGAAACACTACACTACCAAAATGTAGTGTTATTTTAGTATGTGTCTTCTGTAATGCGGAGGTTACTTCCCCAGACGAAATCCGCTAAGCCTGCCCTCTTTCCTTTTAGGTAAGGTATGTTATTATGGAACGTGGAGCACTACTTAACTTATTCTGACATTTTCAGTTCTCAACAGCTGTAGGTATATGAAAAACTTTTTAACAAAAATAAAAAGTGACCTCTAAAAACAAGAAATAATGCAATTTTTTTCTTATAAAACTAGTTTTAAAGCCAATTTAACATTTGGTGTCGGAGCCATGCCAACCTAAGCAGTAAACGGTAACACATATCTATCAACATACCTTTAAACAAATTTTGATGAATTTTGCTATACAGATAATATGCAGCTTCTTTATGGCCTTTGAGAAGCTTAACCAACAAACTTTTTTGTAGTCTCGAAAATGTAAGATAAGTTCGAAAAAAGGTACATTATGTAATTTTGTATGGGGAACCATTTTTTATATCAAGTTGGGCAGACGAACTCGCGGGCACTTACTAAACCAGAGGTAATGTTACTCAGCCCTCGTCCAATCAATCTAATGCATTCCGACTGCCTACTACAGAATTAACTCCGATGGAATTAGGCACTGAAAGATTACTAAAGGAGAAAACATACTTGCAAAAAAGAAGCATACTATTTCGGAATGCTTTTGTCGTAATAAAAAATATAATATTGATTGGATACAATCTAAGGCGTACATTTGATGTTATTTTATTTAGTGGCAGTTTTCGTTTTTTTCTATTCTTATTATCATACTCACAGGTCTTGTAAGAATATCAATGCTCTGGAGTTTTTGGTGTGATTTCATCGAGTGCGGTTGTCGTCATCTCTTATCTGACAAGTCCGTCCGTCCGTCCGTCCGTCCGTGGTGCTGTTTCAGCGGCCAAACCGTAAGAGATAGATATAGAGAATGCTTGAATGAAAATAGTCTGATAAGACTACAAACCGGATGTGAGTAACGTAGCACTTCCGGTTTTCGAGAAATCACGTGATTTCTATTTCAAACGAAACCACACAAAATCTCCGAAGTTCTCAATTAATTAAATACATTTTTTTTTGGTGAACATTTGGTTCACTGGTTTGCTAGTATTTTAATAATTCTTAAATTCGTTCACAGTGGATATTGTCAAATAAAATTGGTGTGATTTTGTGTTAAAACCGTGTGCGTCACTGAAGATTAGTAGAAGAAGATGAAGTAGAAGATTCTTTAAAAAATACGCTATTCTGGTCAAGTGGACGTGAGAACTTTATAGTAGTGTTGACTACCTCACAGAACCTTATCGAAAAAACTAACTTGATACATTTCGTGGCAAACACTCTAAGAAACATTAGAATGCGTCACACCGACAATATAATGTAAAAAAAAAACAGAATATATATATTTTGTGCAAAAAAAACACTCGACCGCAAAAAAACGGGTCGTCCGTATACTTTTAGAGAAAATTTAATCAGAATTCTAAGGTAGCCAGTTTCCTGATTTACTTGCTGTCAAGTTTAGTAAACTAAGGCCCGTTAGTAAGCTAAGGTGTCGAACTTTACTTGAGTACAGTTAGAAAGGGATATCGCTATGTGCTATATATAGCGACATCCCTTTTTAACTATGATCAAGACTAGATCAATCACTGATAATCTTTCTATAATACGCGCCTAAAAGTGCTAGGTTGCTTATTAAAGTAAATTGTCATGATTCTTTTCGTCAATAAAACATAATAATTATATTAATATTAACTATTACTATTATTGAATAACTATTATATTATTATTGAGTACTATTTATTGAATAACTGAAATGCCCTGTGATGTGCCCTTGGCTAACTCGATACTAGATGGCAAGCTCCCAAGCGAAATATTATATTGGAATGAATTGCATCCGCATTCAAATTAAAGCCTTGAGATAAATAGAGACTTGCTGGAGACGTTGCTAAAGGTAAATAATACTAAGACGACCTCCGTGGCCGAGTGGTTTGTACGCCGGGTTCGAGAGGTCCCGGGTTCGAATCCCGGTGGGGGCAGATGTTTGTGTGATGAATACGAGCATTTGTACTCCAGCCATGGATGTTTAATATGTATTTCTATATAAATATACTTATATCATCATCATCATCAACCCATGTTCGTCCACTGCTGGACATAGGTCTCCCCTAATGCACGCCACTGCTCCCGATTTTGTGCTACTCTCATCCAGCCCACTCCAGCCAGCCTACGAATAACATCATCCCATCTTGTCTCAGGGCATCCTACACTACGTTTACTGAGTCGTGGTCTCCACTCATGAACTTTCCGGCTCCAACGGCTATCAGTTCTGCCGGTAATGTGACCAGCCCACTGCCACTTCAGTTTGCTAATTGCTTACTTATATATGTACTGTATACGTATTCTATCCGTTACCCTAGCATCCCATAACACAAGCCTTACAGTGCTTACTTTGGGGCTAGGCTAATTGGTGTGAGTGTTGGAACTATTTATTATTTTATTATAATAATGACTTTTTTAAGAGAAGTAGGGCATATCGGATTTTCCGCTCGAATTGGAGCGCCCGTCTGGGGTAGTGACCTCCACCGTACAGTAAGACTATAGTAAAATTACCCTACCTTTTGATGGTGATTTATTTCTGTTGGTGAGTATGTTTTCACAGGGTAGAGTCAGTGTAGGCAATGGTGAGAGATACTTTTAGTATTGCAAGCTTCTACAGGCTATGGTGGCCGCTTACCATCAGGCGGGCCATACGCTTGTTTGCTACCCTTTTATCATAAAAAACCTTCACAATTCGTCCATCTGTCTGTGGTCTGTATCTCAAACCTCAACTGTGAGCGAAGAGCGACGGGATCGACGAACTGAGCGATGAGAACAAATGCACTAAAATTTTAGAAATATGCCTTGAATCTGTGAGAAGCTCGATGGCGCAAGTGGTTAGCGCATTCGGCTGCGATCGTTGAAGTTAAGCAACTCCCGCAGTGGTCTGTCATTGGATGGGTGAAAAATTTTACTATCTTGTGCTCCTCCGTGCTTTGGAAGGCACGTTAAGCTGTTGCTGTTGCCGCGTGGTGAGTCAAGGCCCATTCTCCCTATTCTATCTTATGTCTAGGGAGCTTGATAGGCCGATAATGATGATGATGATGATGACGTCTCGAATCGAAACCCACAGTGATATAGCGTCAAAATCTTTTCCTTCCTCACACACTTAATAAAATTTATTTACAAACTAACCTTTCTTATAACAATAAAATCACATTGCAGTCGCCTCAGTTTTGAATAAATTAATATCAAAATATAACTCTTTCCAAAAGATAAAAATCTTAAGATAGGTAAGGCACAGCGGATCGCTAAAATTGGATCCTCGTCTGGAAAAGCAACATCCACCTTACAGAAGAGCACAGCAAAATAACATTACCTTTTGGTGGCTTTGAATTTCTGCTGGCGAACAGGGTTCCAGGGCTCCACGTGGTAGGAGATTGGAAACAGTCATAATCATAATCTTTATTGCTTCATGTTGGTATATGGGTTCCTAAATTCAAAATAAGGATTCACAACGTGAGCACTGAAAGGGCATTGCAAAATGTTTCTTAATTTCTAAGAAACATTAACAATTACAAACATCGTCTACTTTTGTGAAACATTTTACCTACAGTATCAGTATCACAGTTCAGGGTTTGGAAGTGAGGTGGCTGGAGTGGCACCTTTTTGCCGCATCACCTATCTTCGCAAATGGACTGCACTTACACTTAATCAGATGGTGTAAAGTAATTTGTTGCGCCTCGTATAAAAAGAAGGTAATACAAATTACGGCTCGCAAACCGAAGAATATAAGCCAGGCGCAAATATTTATCACACTCACCTGGTATCAGATTATCAAACAAGCAGTCAACGATGCCACCGACACTGCCGGATTTAGGGGAGGGCAACCGGGGCGAAAGCCCCGGGACCTCCACTAACGGGGGGCCCCCACAATAGAGACATCGGAAAAAAAATCTTTCAAATTCCAACTATCGAAGCTTTCTCTCCTGAGCATTGAAAGCGATTTACTCCGAGAACTCGATTTCAACGAAATCATCAACGATTTTTCGGCGAAAAAAGCTCGAAAGGTTTCGTTCGTTAACTCTAAGATTTAATTTCAGATAATTCTTGTTTCCGTTTATATTTATATGTGTTTGTTCAATACTAAGGGAATCTACTTGGTTCACAATAAATTATTTATTGAAAAACTCGACTGAAAAAAAAATGTTTACTTTATTTAGAAAATAATTTGGGGTGAGGGGGCCTCCGCTCCTCTGTTGCCCCAAGGCCTCTGGACCTCTAAATCCGGCCCTGGCCACCGACCAGTGTGGAGATTGATAAAAACACTTACAGCACAGCATCCAGAGCTTCCACGTCGGTATGCATAATACCAGTGTTGGCAGCCATCGACCTGGTCAGCACCAGCGAGAAGAATAAAGAAAGGCTGAACCCGATGATATACAGGTTGCGAGAGCTGTCCAGGTCCATATATTGTAGGACAGAAAGACCTTGACGAAACAAATATTAATCACACTCACCCGGTATCAGATTATCAAGCAAGCACCCAACGATGCCACCGACCAGTATGGAGGTTGATAAAAGCACTTGCAGCACGGCATCCAGAGCTTCCACCCCGGTCTTTATGACGCCAGTGTTGGCAGCCATCCACCTGGTCAGCACCAGCGGGAAAAACAGGCTGAACCCGATGATGTACAAGTTGCGGGAGCTGTTTAGGTCCACGTATTGGAGGGCGGACAGACCTTGACGAAACAACACATAAACGCAATACATAAAACAAAATAATCGCTAACTGCGGGAACAATTAAACTATCAAAAAGGTCCAATAGTTCCCACAAAAGAGGTCCAATTAGCGCCTTCAATATAATATTTTGCGAGATCGAATGGGGCATACAAATCAGACCTAGTGGGTACAGTTGCAGTAGGATTTAATCTTGAAAGTCCAGTAGGTACCAGATGAATTGTAAAAAGAGGTCAAATGTCTTTAGGATGGGTGAATAAAAATTTACTATCTCGAGCACGGTAGTGCTTCGGAAAACACAATAAGCCGAGTCACTGGTTCGGGCAGCATCTGTTGTAAGAGTTGCACATAAACACATGTATAGGTAAGACCTGTACCAAAACAGATATAAAATAACTTTATTATGATGAATCTGTTATGCTTTTACTTTAAGGGACCCTCCGTCTCTTTCTTAGTCAATCAGTTACGAAATAAGTACATCCTCATGTTGCAAGTGTAAGAATCCATACTAGTGCCATTGCCATAAACGCAAAAAGAACTTGGTTATCTCCTAAGGTGCAGTAACTTGATTATTTACTTTTATTTTATTTATTTATAACCAAATCACATTTACATGGTTGCTGTAAATATATAGTCCCACAGAATGCTAACTGGTTTGACGGTGGAGGCTGGAAGTCTCGATCGTACAATGTAATTTTTACTTTAAACTGCTTACAAAATTACTTATTTGCTATTTCTATTACATATTATATTAACATTGAAATGCATATTTCTTTATTTATCTTTAAATGTCCTGTTTGGTTCATTTTTAATTTCAGTAGACAATGTATTAGACAAGTAAGGTAGGCGCTTTTCAAGTATCCTGTCACCAGAATAATTATTTACTCTAGGCACTTTGAACTTGCGAAGGGTCATTGACCTTGTATTGTGCTCATTGTGCAAAAGAGTAAGGAAGTGCTCTCGATTACCATGATTTTTTATTTATTACAGATAAATATAAAAATATGTGAAGACGCTTTTGAATAAAACTGCAGACATAAACTGTTGTATGCTGGACTCACCGAAAGCTGATATCATGCCGAACATGACACAGAACAAGCCTCCAATGACGGGCTGCGGGATGATGATGAAGACTGCACACATCTTCCCGACCACACCTTGGAGTATCATCAGAGCCGCGGCCCATTGTACTACGCGCCGTGACCCTACCTTATGTACAAATAAGACTGAAAGTGTATTTCAAAGTATTATAATTTCGTATTATCGAACGCGGGCAGATACGAGTTACATTGTGGCCAGGACCAGCCGGCTACAGAAAAAGACGCAGGCAAACACGATGGACAGTCGACATCACACGCATAGCTGGTCGAGACTGGGTTACAGGTCGCGGATAAAAATACTGAATCGCATTATTGCGGTTGTTATGAGAAATAAAATTTCAAATTTTAATGTTAGAGGTTGGCACTGTATTTGACCTAATCCTTTTGAAGGTTTTCACCGTATGTAGGCATGGATTTTAAAAAAAAAAATTAACACGCACCTAAATATCTTCTATTAGACCATATTTATTTCAAATGAATAACTTTGTCGGTTACGCTTACAGAATTTATTTTTTGGTTTCTTTCACTATAAGTTCACGTAAAGTTTATGATTTTTTATAAAACAAAAGTAATTAACACAGAAAATAAAAACAGAAGAGGGATTTTTTTTGGGCCAGATAAAACACTGTGCCATAGTAACTCATTAGATGATCAACTCTTACATGCAGGAGTAGACGCAGCCTGAAATTTTGGTCATAAAATATTTGGAGTAAATTAGACTTTATTATAGAATCTGGTGCCCTGAGCTCACGATTACTATACGCGTACGATTCCGTTTTTTTTTTTGTATTTTTTTATAAGATGCTTCAATAGAGTAAATTAGACTATAATATAGTATGTGGGCGTAAGTTTCACACTTAAGCAAAATGTATTTATTAATCTCATTATAAATCTAGTCGTGTTCTTCATTTAATTTGTATACCGAAACACCGTGCAACATACAGGCAACTGTGTTGCAGTTTGGCAGACTTAGCATATTTTGTAACCTTTTTTCTGAAACAAATAAAATATAATAAAAACATACACGCCTTGTCAGAATACCAGCGTTACCGTGACACGTTTAGTTACATGTCACGGCAGCATTATGATGAGGCAGGGTCCTGATTGACTAATATTATAACTGTTAGGTTTATCAATATTTGTGATGCTTTCACTTTATTATATGTTTCTATTTCAGCTGTTTATAAATTTATGTTTGTGTTTCTCGCCCTTTCACCTTTAATGATGCAACTATCCATTGCGAGCGAAGCGGACTTACATGATTAAATTAATACAAGTGCTTCCACTTAACAAGAGAAAATGTGAGGAGTTCCTCTAGTGAAAAATAAAAATTAATTTATCGCTATACAGTGGCAAGCGGACATTATAATTAATTCACCATTTACAAAACACATTATCGTATACGCTAGAATGTTGAATATACCTTCGTGACTCCAATGGCGCCAACGTTCTCCCCGAAAGTGTTGGTGCCGTTGCCAGAACCCCAAAGACCAGCTAGTATTGTGCCCAGACCTTCAGTACCGAGACCACGGTTGATGGCATGAAGAGGAGGCGGTGGGGCCGCTGTAGACCACACAAGAAATATTTTCTAAGTTACTGGTACATAGCTTATCTATTGGGCAGTTCAATAATCAGTTCTCCAGAACTGAACCTTAAGGAATCGAAGAATAATAAAGCTTTAAAAGGGACACAACAGAAGTTATTGTATTGGAATAGCGAAATGAAGTTTCTATGAAAAACTATTATTACCTTTACAAAGACGAAGTCGTGAGAAACACTCAAGAGTTAATAAAAGTTTTTCTTTTACCTAAAACTGAGTGTCATAAATTACCATGGGTGGTGAAGACGAGAATCGAGAACAATTTAATATTACGACATTACGACGTAATATTTTCTTCCACCAATATGGCCACCATAAAGTAAAAAAAATATACTTAAAGATATTCAATATGTGGCTTTGAAGGCGCTTCACCGTCGCTCAGTCCGTTCTCTCATCATCAGCATCATCATGTCAGCCATACGGTGCCCCCTGCTGAGCATAGGAGACCCTGAAAGATATCTACGTTGATCGGTTCTAAGCTTTCCGCATCCACAAATTCCCACGTGATCCCTTCTTCTTACAACCTGGGATCCTTTAAAAGAGGCGTGAAGAACCAACTGCAGGCCGGCTAGGTTAGGATGGCTGGTGTGGCAGGTAGAACTGTTGTACCAGCTATCTTCACGTCAGGACTTCATCATCACTTAACATCAGGTGGGGTGAAGTCATTTGTCGGAACTATCTAAAAAAAATTAGTACGAACCACACATGCGTGCCGTAGTAGGGTAGTAGCTGATGGACTCCACCGTGCAAGCAAGCACACCAGCCAGCATACCGAGCACTCCGGCCACACTTACGGTGGGTGCTCCCCATTGACCTGATACCAAGAAAATATCATTAGCATCGAGTACATTAATTTTATTTCACAAGGAAATTTCAAAATCGATCCTAAATTAGAAAAAAAATACCTGTCGACATTTAGATGGAATTATAGAAATAGTGTCGCTGCTATAATAACCAATCTATAAAGCATTTACATTCACATCTAAAAACATAACAATCTGTAAACGGAGACCCTCTTTTTTGTAAACAAATATCAATATAATGAAACAATGGAATAAGCTAACCTTAAGGAATATAATGAAACGAAAACGCTGATGATAGGAATAGAACAAGGTTGATTGTTGATGGTCATCTTCTTTCACTCTGTGACGTTTCGGAGAATCATCTCAATATAAAAAGACCAGGCCAGGACTCTTACCTCCATATGGAGAAAATTACTTTTATTATTTTATATTATTGGAAAGTGCGTATACTTTACTAACATCAAAGAGGATTGGAAATGAAACAAAAAGGCAAAAGACAATTTGGCAAAACTTACACCAAAATATATTCATAAATTGTACCTGGATAAGGCACCCGAAACCACGGCGCATCCTGTACGATGTTCAGCTTGATGTCAGTCCTGGCAGGGTGCTCTGGGGGAAACACCTCTGTTACAGTCAGAATGCCGCAAACCGCCCACATAATCGCTATAGTTAGCAGAACCTATGGTCAATAAAATAAAAAAGTTCAAACAAGAATCTGAAGAAGCAAGCTGTATAGGTATGCTGTAAGATGCAATCTCACTTACGATCTCATTTATTCGGATTTCTGACAAATGTCAAACATATAATACTGCCCGCCTAACATGACCACCGCGATATGATATATTACTGGTTTTTATCACGCTCAAGTGTCAAATTACTATGGAGTTTGACAGTTAGACGCGATAAAAAAAACGACGGGTTGCACTCCGAGAGTGCCGGCAGAAGTGAAAACTAGAATATTAACGTTGTGCATTTTTGATATTTTTGACTGGTTAGAGAATAATTTTGCACTAATTGCTTTAATTATCAGTATAAAAGTACTATCATTTATGTGGTAGAATACAATATTTATTTATTGCACTATCGTACACAAACATGACAATTTATATTACATTAAAAAAGTTTATCTCTCAGAAAAATCAACTTACATGAATTACGTTTAAGCGCACTTAGCGACATCTATTGTAAAAAAATGCATAAAGCTGCCACCTAGACGTCCTAGATAGAGATTTATTATTATAATACGATAAAATAAAATATTACTATGTTTCGTCCAATATATTGAAAGTCAACAACGTCTCCAATTTTATTGTTTTCGTCAGATCCCCGATCAGGCCACGTGTCATGACGCGATCAGCCCTCGTGTCCTGACGCGAGTTTAATATTTTTTACCCATACAAAAAAAGTGTACAACGCCGCTAAAGAAGTTTTCACTTCAAAAACGTGGTATGACGTAAATTGAGGTGCTTATGCTACGGGGACTGGCTGCTTCTACAGATAGCAACAGTTTACTGTGCTATAGCGTTTTGCATGTCTAATAAATATCTAAAATGGCTGCTACCGAAATCAGAAGTGAGATTTTGTTTTACAATATCGCCCTAAATAAATTCAGTGCATTAACTGAGCATCAAATCTTGGTTAAGTTCAAGGTTAAGTTCTACAAGCTTCTGTTCTCTCTACAAAACTCTTTTTCGAGATTTTATCACAAAAATTTAAAGGACTATTTTGAAATTATACTGTATACTGTAAGATGCCAACTTAAACAAAACAAAAATAATTAAAGGTAAGTTGCACCAAAATTCTCTAAAATTAGGGTTAAAATCATATTTAACGAATCATTTCATCATTCATTGTTAATTGTTTAAAGTCTAATGAAGATAAAATGTCGAAATCATGGTAGCTTCACCATGATTAGCTTTTAATGTTGAAAGATTTGAGAACTTCGGTGCAACAGTGTACACAAAGAGTCATCGATCTTTATCTGACAAATAATTAGCTAAATTTGAACTGAAAACTCAATACGATTTTAAAAAGTTTTGATACAGTTAGTATACCCATAACAGAATAGTGACTCACAGGAAAAAGTTTGAAGAGAGGGAACCAAGTTAAGGCAAACCCTCTGCCATTCTGCCAAGCCAGCGTTGGAATCTTCACCTCACCCATGCATTGTGAAAATATCGTCAGCAGAATGAATGTGCTGTAACAAACACATAATTTCATGATGAAGTCATTGATATGATGAAGAAAATTAATTGGCTTGGCCTTTTTGCATAATTATATAGAATAACGTATAATATAAAAGGCCTTGTCTTATTAGTATTTTGTACTTGGCCACTGATAGTGTCGCCGCACACGGGCCACACGCCACAGCCACAAACGCCGCCACGAGAAGCTAGAAGCGGCTACTAAAGTGGCTGAAGCGTGCGACAGCGGCCGACTAAAGTAAAGGAGAGAGTGGTGGGGAATCGCGCGAGTAACGTGTGGCGGCGTTTTGTATCGGCGCAGTGGTCGGTGCGGGCCACAAGAAGTGAGCAACGACGATTTGTAGCATGTGGCGGCCACCGGGCGTGCCGTCTGTGGCGAGTCCATATAAAATGTATGAAAACTACAAGAAATATGCCGGTGGCGGCGTTTTGTGGTTGTGGTCGGTGGCCGGTGTGCGGCGAAACATAGATTCCATTTATAAAGCGAATTTCTATGCATCCATCCATAGGATAAGATATTGGCTAATTCTTTGAAAAGCTTTCTCCGCTCAACTTTCGTGGCGAAATTTCATATTGAGTTTTCAGAAGATATAACATCATTACATTTTATGAAACGTCAAATATTACGAAACATGTAAATTGATTTAAAATTTACGGTCAATTTTTTTTTGTCCGTGAAAGTTATGAAAGTAACTCTCCGCTACCAAAATAACAACACACTTCAGCTAAAATCATCCTCTGCTAGTCCGATAATGCGTAGAGTAACTGCAAATACTGAAAACAAGTGCCAACTCCGGTTTAGCAAGTTTGAAAAAAGTTTTGAACGTTATACAATGTATCAAGAATAAATTAACTGCCGAGAATCAGTCTATTTACCAGTTTCTGAAAAAAGTTTACTACCTATAACTGTATATGTGTGAATATGGTAGAAAAAGACAAGAGAATAAATAACCAATCAAAATTATTTAAAAACTAAAATTATTCGCACCATACTATAATTAATCATTTTCATGGACAAATCGCCACGAAAGCTGTGCCATGAAAATAACGATGTTTAACACATTCAAATATAAATGTGGCATCAAAATCAAAATCAATATTCATTTATTCAGTTTAGAATTTTACAAGCAGATGTTAAAGTCGAAAGCTACGCCATCGACTTTAACAAATCTATGGCGGGAGACCTTGTACTGAGAAGAACCAGCAAGAAACTCAGCAAGGGCTGCTTTTGTCTCCCTGTATTATTTCATACAGTGTCGTCAAATTGAAAGCTGACATCAAACTTATAATCATGTATTGAGGTCAACTTCCATCACATAATATAAAAATGGGAACAATACATATACAAAACCCCCGAAAAGGACATTGTTCAGCGTCCATACATAGTTAGCCTAAGAACCAACAATCATGAAATATGATTTTCTAGGTTCGAAATCATAAGTAAATGACTGTAAAAACAAAGATTATTGACAGACACTTCTGAGAACTTAAATTATTAGGAAAACTAAATGTTTTTTGAGGTTATGTTTAATATTCAATGAAACATAAGTCAACCTATGAACTTAGTATGAAGTGAATTAATATTATAACTAATTCATTTTATTCGGTGCGATTTTAAAGAGTTTATTAAGAAAACCTTGGATAGGTAGGAATCATGAATAAAATAAAAACTGTAGTTTTGCTTCTTATTTATTGACTATTTTTCACATAGTTGTATCATATTGTATATGGTATTTATTTGTATATCACATGTATATTGAAAATATTGTAAATATGCAGCATGAATGTGTATCAGGTGTTCTTGAATAACTTTGGCAGTATGATCCTCTCAGGATGTTGTGACACAGGTTCACTAGCACTTGGTAATAAGGTCTCTGCTCTTTGGTAACATCGATAGCATATTAGATAGCCGAAAATAGTTAAATTAAAGGAAAAACAATCGCAAATAAACACACGCAACAGGTAATCCGAAACGAGAATGCACTTTCCTGTATATTATACTCTCCTTGTCATGCTTAATAAGGAATGAAAAGGACAGACTGATGTCATGTTTTAAAATAGCAAATACGAATAGCCAAGTGAAGTGCCGGCATTAGGAAGAAAGAGTGTTTTGTTTGCAGCGTTGTCACAGATTATACACTTAAAATGGTATTTATTGTCTCAGATTATTTTTTAACTTTTTAATTTAGCTTACTTAACTGGAAGTGTCCGTCACAATCTAAATACTGATAATTATCCCAAAAAATATATTAAGAATTATCATAAATGCCAAATTGGTGTTGGTTCTTAGGCCAATTTTAACATTGTCCTTTGTTTGGTTCTCTTCAATAATCTTCCTGATTATTATAGAAATGTATACCTTGACCCATAAATGATCCATGATCTTTGTTTAACCTGTACAACGGTAACTTAAGTTTGTTTTTATGCCTAGTATTAAAAGTAAGTACGTCACTGTATTTGAGATCAAAGCTAATATTGCTTCGAGCAAAAAGTATACAATTGTTGATAAATTGAATAATCGAAGCAACGGCCAAAATCCCTCATGACTTCTAATAATAAAATCTAGTGTCTACATTTATATTGTGTATAGTATTTATATTTAATACCAGTCGTAGCCCAGTCACAGAATTCCAACTTCTGAGAAAATTAAGTAGTCTTAAGTGGAATGTCTTATCGAATTCATTCTTAATTAAATGGAAAAGATCGCCATAAAGACTATTAGGATCATCGTGTGTCCATTAAAAAAATCTTATCATTAATATTTAATTTAAAATTTTCTACACGCTTTTTAGTTACTGGCCTTAACTCAATGAACTTAGGCAAACTAGTGACATTAATATTATATTTTAGGTCGTAGTGATTAGACGTAATAGTTGATTTACTAGCCTGATTATAGTCTGTAAATATATTATCCAAACATTTGGCTGAATGAGATGTTACTCCAGCAGGCTCAAAAAATTGATGGATCAAATTAAAAAGTGATATTATGCGAACTGACATTGCATTGTTTTCAAGAATGTTAATATTAAAATCCCCACATATTACCAAAATTTAATTTTTCTACTTTAACTTTCTGAGAACATTCTCAATCACTGATTAAAAAACACTAAAGTTACCTAGAGGGGGTCGGTATACACTATAATTAACTCACTTAATTCCGCACAGGACAGCTCATTAATACGTTCCACAGAGAGGCCGATTATATACTTCCTATCCTTAGTCTTCCTTATATTCTTATTTACATAAATTAATGAACCACCGCGTATGGCTGTCCTACGAATTTATGCACTCATCACTTGAAAACCGTTCACCTGAAAAGACATCTCTGAAGACTTAAGCCAGTGTTCCGATAAACAGATAACATGCAAACCCTGACTCATTGCAAACATATCTAATTCTAAATCCTTGCCAGAATATTTTGTTCATCATCAGCCTATTAATGTCCCCACTGCTGGGGCACAGGTCTTCCCTATGGATGGAGTAGGGAGATTGGGCCATGACCCACCACGCGGGCCCAGTGCGGATTGGCGGGTGTTAACGACTGCAAATGCAGCCAGGACCAACGGTTTAACATGCCTTCCGAAGCACGGAGGAGCTCGAGATAGTTAATTTTTGGTCACCCATCCAATGAACGACCACGCAGAAAGATCGCAGCCTAACGCGCTAACCACTTGCGCCATCGAGCTTCTCAATATTTTGTTAAATAATATTAATTTTATTGGATTTGGCTATTGTCGTACCCTTCAGTTTAAAATTGAGTTGGTCAGTGAGTCAACCTATTATTAAATTAAATATTTATATTAGTATAAATACTAACACCATTATTAAGTCTTAAAAACTTTTTTATACCATGTATAACTGAATTTGCTGAGCTATCTGGGTCTTATATACTTAGTGTCTGTGGTCTATTTAAAGTTACTGATATACTTATTTATATCAAAATTTGTCACTATGACTATGTAATGAGTAATAAAAAATTTAATTCTAACTATAGCATATTTATAGACTTATTCAAAACACACTACATATTATAATGTCTCGATGACTTAATTTATTGATAAAGTATGTCGTCATTTACATTTGATAACTTTGTTCTACTATGTATAACATGACCACGAAAGTTGCTTGGTCTTGGTTGTTAGTTTTTTTTTTGAAGAATAACTTCAACCCATTGCTTGTTTATTTATTATCAAAGTCTATGCATTATATTATTTGGCTATTCCTAATTTCTATTATTCCATGCTTCCATTCCTTACATTTAAGACACGTCGGAGCATAGATCGAACATGTCCTAAGGGATTGCAGTTCGGAAGTTTCGCCTTGGAGTTTAACTTAGCCAGATTAGGTTAGGCCAGCTTAGTAAATTCGATTGCATAAGTTTTATATACTTTCACTATAAGAAAGCTACTCAATTCTTGAATGACATAAGCTATAGTTTATTGTATATTTCGCTCGTGAAAAGCCAAAGCCAAAATAGTAATATCATAATTTGATTTGACAAAACAACAAACAACAAAAGTAGTTCCGACATCGAGCGCGCAACATCGTATGACTAGATCACTTTATTTTAACATCATTCTCAATCCAATCTGTTACGTCGAGAAAATTCGAAACAACCGACGCCACGATATTTCCATCATGAGATTGCACAATACGAATTGGATTCCGAAAAGGCTTTGTCACTCCACCCTTTGAAATATTGCCTTCAGGATTACCAAAAACAACTTGATTTTACCATGTTAGAAGACTACCCAGCATTTCGTTAATGTTTGAATGAAAATAAAAATGCAAAATATTAAATTAAAGTAAAATTGATCAACGAAGTACTCCGTGAAATCGTTTTGAAAAAGTTTAGTATCTACGTTGATTCAAAAACGATGGATGGAATTACAGACACACTTTATCGCTTGGGTAGGTCGTTCAATAAAAAGGCGAACTGTTTGCCAATATATTTCAGTAGAAATATACAGAGTTCTCACTGTTATTCTTCCTA